AAAATGTTTTTATTTTACTAGACCTTATTAATTTCCTTTTTTAGCAAGATTTCATTAAAACAGTGACAATAATAAAAGATATTTAGTTAAATAAAAAAGAGTTGACAGGCAGCTGTCCCTGTAGGCAATGTTTCTATAAAATTATGTTTCTATATATAATGGTGAATCATACTAGTTGTTATTGATTGAATATATAGTTGACATATTTTACTTATAATGTTATTAATCTAAAAATAGACATTGATAAATTTGACTAATTTACAAAACACATTAATACGTAATTAATATCCTAAATAGATATTGATGTTGAATATACAAGATACATTAGATTTTTGGAAGTCTTATAACAAACAACACAAGAGGTTTATTATGGTATAACTCACTTCTTTAATAACAAAGCACATAGCGTATATTTTTATATGTTGCTTTGCATATATGGCGTTAGTTTATGTCTGTAATGGCACCTCTGATCTTTAAGTTTGATTCAACTTGTTTGAAATCTTGACAGTGAGCTTACTCTTCATTTAGGCACCTCAAAACTGTTTTCAATCATCCATATTTCAACTTTTTCTCCCAGTTAAAATTTTAAAGTGTTAACAGGTCTCATATAAGGCAACAAACTCTTGGTTAGTACCTAAATTAATATGAAATATGTCTATTATGGATATGGAATGAGCATTTTTCAACATTACCGTACAATTAGAAATCTTAATCAAGATTACTCTTTTTAGACACAGTAGGCGCGCCAGTTTTTTTTAAAGCGTGAAGTCATTTTGATTGTAAGGAATTAAATTAAGTGACTGGGTTAGGTAAGGATTGTCATTTTCTTTAATGCCCATTTTTGTACCATGGCGGTGCAAATAGCCACGACCAATGTACTAATCTGCAGGAAAAGTGCAAGTCTGCAAGTCATCAGCGTCTGCTTTGGTGTGAGGCATTTCTTGTGGAGGGGAATCGTTGCCAGAAAAAAGCATTTCTCCCCACTGTTCACCTTAATATGTTAGATTGGCATCTCAGGACCTCAATGGCACCAACAATTGCATTCATAATCCCAAAGGAGACCATTGGATAAAAATTGCAATTTTTCAATATCCATATTGGATATCCGTCACTGGCCAAAGAAATGTTGACAACTATGTAATGATTCTATTCATAACACGACATTTTAGAGGTTTTATTTGAATAAGAAATGAATTACAAATATTTCGCTTTTTGATTTAATTACAACAATTGCAATCAATCCAGAAAAGTAGTGTATCCATTGGCCACAAAAATTGGCCGGCCACTGAAGTAATGACGAAGTCGCAATTGACCAATGCCGCATTTGAACATCCGGTTTTGAGGCTTATTTAGTGTTAAATCCCTTTGACAAGGAGCAATTATTGATTTATATTTCCGTTAGCTTCCGTGAATTTCTGAATTATGTAAATGAAGTAGGTCACGTTACCTTATATGGTAAACGTTCAAGAATGCAGAAGTTGACTTTACAACTCTCAAGAATACAGTGGTTGAACTTACATCTTTCACGAATGCAAAGTCAAGAAGACAGTTGATATTGTCAATAATGCAAAGTTAAGAATTCATTTTTGTAAAGGAAAGTTTGAATGGTGTCTGATGTGAAATAAAGTTTGAAAAGTAAACTATCAATATCTTTGTAATAAGTACAGTGACTTTTTGATTTTAGGAAGGTTTATTTTGTAATTGTCTAATGTTGAAATATGACTGAAGTCGAGGCCTTGCTTTCAAGTTTGACTTTGTAAATACTTCTGGCAACGATCCCCCCCCCGTAATTTCTTGGAGTGAGATAAGATTACGGAGAGGATATCTCTACGTTTTGGGCCAGACATTAAATGTCATTTATGGCAAAAGTTTTGGTATCCACACAAAGCTGAACCATTAATTAATTAGTCCATCAAGACATTACACAGTACCACAATACAGTTGTAACCAGAATGCAGTTGAAGAGTTGGCCTTAACCTACATATTTTTTGGGCTACTGCTGTGTAAATAAAAACATGTGAAACTTATTAATTACAAGAACTGTTTATATTTGAAAGGACCTTGACCTGTGACATCTGTAAGATATAAAGATTAGATTTAAACAGAATATTCAAACAGTTCTAATTAACATAAACAAAGATACTGTGTTATTTCTATTAGGTTGATTTTTTCTGATTATTCCAAATGTTCACTCAAAAAACAAGCCATTTTTTATATTTGTCAGCAATTTCTCCCAGTTGATTGTTTTCGTTGTGTGCCTGCACTCTTGAAGAGACAAAACTCCAAAGAGCATCAACATCCAATCAGAGTCCTTCTTTATTTAAAGGTATTGCATGTGAAGTCACATACAAGTCAACATGGTATAATAATTTAATAATAAAAATATTTTGATTGGGAAATCTTCTAAATTATAAATAAAAGTTATGTCTTAGTTTCTAATGGTTATTTTTTGTATCATGAAGTTATGAATATTCAGTGTTGAGATCGGTTGTTACAATTTATTGTTGGTAAGTTATGCGCGGAAGGGAAAACTTTCTGGAAGAATGACCTTACGAAAAATTACACTGTAGAAAATGTTTTATATTTAATCAATTATGAAATTTGATAAACGATAATCGAAATTATAATTCCTATCAACGATAATCAACCAAAATAAATGATAAATGACCAACTGGAAATTTTCTGTCTCCTCATGTGCCCGCAGCTGGTTAATAGCATCTTATCCCATTGTTCAGGTATTGTTATCTTGTTTTATCATATACTGTATAAGGGCATGTAGAATATTTATGACTATATTTATACTTAGAGAAAATCTTTGAGGAATGTGTAGAGTTATGGACCAGCTATTTGAGATTTTTATGGTAGTTGTATTATAAGACAGTACAAACATGAATGTTGGTTATTTCTCAGGTTGAGTCTAAAATAAGCTCTGACATATTGTCTGTTGTTTATAAACTGCTTTGTTTATATTTATATAGTTACTCAGACTGTATGTTTGAGGTTTTCCTGTTGACATTTTGTGTTGAAACCTTCATTGATGAGTGTGATGTAGATGAGAAATGAAACTCCCTAAGAGGGACAGGTTCACCATTTTCTGCACTGATTTCTAGTCTTCAGAAATAATGGCCAAAAATAATGCAGATGATTCTGGACACACATGAATTTGAAGGCTGAAATTTCGACAGTGAGCTTTGAACATTATTATTGATTAGCTTACTCTATAAAATTACCGTTTCTGAGTCAAAGATACGTTTGGTCAAACAGATGGCCTGTCCCTTTAACTAGCCCTGAAAACTCCTGATGGCTTGTAATACAGGTGTGAACACAACACATGCACTGACATGTCAATTTGGGACATAGCTGTGATTCAAACTTCAAACTTCCAGATTATCAATATAGAAACAGACTGGGAAATCCATTATGGATAAAAAATTAATAGACAAAATTCTGAATTTTGTAATGCTGAAAAAACATGGTTTCTACATATTAAGTTTTGTATTTCTACTTGTAACATGTAAAATCTTTCATTGATTTTTAAGTAGAAGAATTTTGAAAAAAGTTTCCTTTGAAATGCATTTAATCATACAACTTGTTAAAATCAAGTTATAGATTATGGACAGGCAAACTAACAAAATTTTAGTAACAAACTCATGGAGAAACAAGAATTCTTGATTTAATTTTAAAGGAGAACAGTTGGGTTTTTACTGTAAGCCTTTTGAAATTTGTTTGAAATCATACATGCTTGATTTTAGAACACTTCTTGTAGGATGGAAATTTTCCAACCTCTGATGTATTCAAATGATATTGATACCGTATGATATCAGTCATCAACCAGGACAATATATTCATGTTGATAAATCCTATTATTGTTATCTGATTCTATTTAATATTAGTACATATGATAACTAGTCAATATCAAATATATCATATTGGTTTCAAATATTGATTTAAAAATTTTTACCTTATCCTGGTACCATAAAGTAATATAGTCTGTCTAAATGACCAGAAACTAGGCCTGGGTATAGATTACCAAATTGAGATCGTTTATCGATGGCAGACTACCGATCAATAATAGATTAATAATCAAAATAATTCAATTGAGAAACCCTGTAAATACTTCATTAAAAACTACAAAAATTCTCAATTTCACTGGTAATTTTTGCGTCATTCTTGCTTTGATCAGTTATTATAGCTTATTGTGGCTTGTTATATGCTCAAAGGAAAATATACGGAAGAGATAACTACATGTGTATGGGTACAATGGAGAAAATGTAATTTTAACATATAATCGATTATGAAATTTGATAATCGATAATAGAAATTATAAATTCCTGGCGATAATAATCGACTAATTCGATCATTTTACTCAGCCCTACCAGAAACTGTCAAAAAGGTCACAGGCTGTAATAACGAACAAGTCTATTTCCCTCCTCACATTTATCCATATTCTATTAAGATGCTACAATACATTCTATTTGACTTCAAGTCAAAATAACATTTCTTAGCAAATTTTTTGTTATGAGAATAAGACGTGATAATACACCATATTAGTAATAAATAGGTTAAAATTAGTGTGTTTAAAGGTTATATAGTGTGTGAAATATTCTAGATGAATATGTACATGCTTTTATATATTATAAAATATATTTAAAAGTATTTTTGAATTAAACTGCGTACTTATATTACCAATCTTATACATAATGAAGTTAATACAGCAATGTTTTATTTGGATATTAAAAACTTTGAGATAATGGATGGGAAATGATATATTATTGTAATGAAATTCAAAGTTTCCTTTTCCTGTACTTTATAAGCTGTAATATCAATTGATAGTCCTACAAAATGTTTAGATTCTCAAGGATAGTTTGGTTTGGTTGTAGTAAAATTATTTGTGAGAAGGTTACATTGCCCTGACATTGCAATAAAGGATAATGATTGGAATATAGGGGTCAAGCTAAACAGTGATTGAGATGTTCAACTGTTCTGTTTTCTACTTTCAGATATAAAAGATGGCCACCACAGCTAAAGTTAACCCTGATTTATTAGGTGATATTAGTAAAGGTTCTGATTTGAAACATGTTCAGCTAAAAGAAAAAAATCCATTACCATCTAAAGAAGGTAACTTTTACTTTATGATCATTTCATCCGAGTCGGATGAAAAAGAACAGAATGGAACTCATAAAATTTGGTAGTCTAGTGTAAATGGAATCTGTTCGTGGAACCGTTGTCAAGTCATTAAGGGCCAGCAAACAGTAAAAAAAGACGCTTATCTGGTTCCAAATTGCTGGTTACTTTCAGAAGGGTTAGAATATAATCGGTTTGAAATTAGAACCATCGCTGGGGTTAAAAAGAACGCAAAAAAACAATGAATTGTATTCGAAATTCACCTACCTACTGGTAGATATTATACACCAGTAAATATTGATAATATTCACCTGTAAATATTGATAATATTCGCCAGTTTCATACAAAAGTGCGTTATAACCAAAAATATTACACTAATACTATATGTTGGAGAATGAGTTTCCCGAGTTTCCTGAATACGGGAAGGCCTATACATATTATAGACCATAGACCAGAGCGGATATGTACTAAGTAATGGTTGTATAGACTATAGCCACCTACTCTGATTCTTATTGACACCCCTGCGTTGTTGCACGTGAGTCTTGACATCTTGAACTTTACCCACAGTTTTATCAAAACATACAAAATGACTGCCAAAGGAATTTTTTCTCCTTAATAACCTTTTTGTGAAGAGTTCCATTTACAGACTGTTAAAACACTATTATTAAGTGTTCTCGGAAATCTTGTAATCTAATATAAACAGTGGAAACATTTTATGTTAGTTGCGTCCCTCCCAGTTTAGATGGAGAACGGAACACTTCCGAGACTCCTTATGTAAACAGGGATATAGCTGATATACTTTTTATTTGATAGGTTTATTTGACACTAATAGGCCGATAATTTTACAAGTGGACAAGATTGTCATAAGAGTATATTTTTGACCTAAAAGCTTTCTTGAGACTAACTTGAAAGACTACACTGAAATAATTGGTGTGGCAGCAGGGCAGAGCATGCTCATTAAACCAGAACATGTGATACTATTTAATAATTTGACTGTAATAGTGATAACAAGAATTTACAGTGAATATTCTAATAAGGTCAAACTAAATATTAGGAATTGAATGGGAATAAAGCTGGGTAAAGTTTCTTTAGGGTGTTGTACAATAAAACTTTTATTCAGTTAAAATTTATTGAACAAGTGTTTGTCTGTCTAACTGTTAAACCACATTGCTAGAGTCAAAACACACACTAGTTTGACCTGTAACATAATTTAATCTTTTCAAACAGATTTGACATTTGAGTTTTTAGCACATGTTTGAATTTTAGCTCTAGATAAAATAATGTATTTAGCATACATAGACCTAGTTATCATTTGATTACAGTTTTTCATTGCTAATTAAAGAGATTGTATAGAGGTTTCCTAACTTGTTTATATGTATTGAGGACACTGATATCATCAGTTTGCAACATTCAAATTTTCAGTTAGATGTCTGACTTCAAATATGATTTATCACACATAAGGGCCTTCCTGATTACTGATGTCATCAAATATTTAGTTTTAATGGAATCAGGAAACACAGATGTCTGATTGAAAATTGGAATGGTGGAAATTGATGCTATCAGTGTCCCCTATACACATTCAAAAGTTCAAAAACCTCTGTACAATATCTTTAATATACCGATATGATGAAGGAAATTAAATACAGATACAGTAGTTAGTTTTTGAAACAGTTAATTAGTTGATAACTGATAACTGTCAAGTTGAAATTCAGCATTAAAGTTAGCCTTTCTAACTATTCTTCATTATTAAATAAATATGTCCTTAAAACATTTTTTATATGTATGACAGATCATTTAGTTTCCCCTTAAATGACAATATTTTGAATTCTTTTTATTGATGGATTATGAAACCAAGTTAGTAATAAAAATGCTGTTTCTAAAATTTCCTACAATGTAAGATCCATAGTTAGTGCAATTACCCATTCATACAAATTACTACCAGTTACATTGTTTAATGTGTAAAATTAGAGTAACATTATCTTATGTGTAAAATAAGAGTGTAGTAACATTGTCAAATGTGTAGAATAAGAGTGTAGTAACATTGTCAAATGTGTAGAATAAGAGTGTAGTAACATTGTCTTATGTGTAAAATAAGAGTGTAGTAACATTGTCAAATGTGTAGAATAAGAGTGTAGTAACATTATCTTATGTGTAAAATAAGAGTGTAGTAACATTGTCAAATGTGTAAAATAAGAGTGTAGTAATATTGTCTTATGTGTAGAATAAGGGAGTAGAAAATAAACGTATTTGAACCTTAGCCCTAATGTGTTAATATTGTGACTCATCATATAATGTGAGGTGGTTTATAGTTGAGATACTGTACTTTATTTATTCTATTTGATCCTACAATGGAAACAGCAACTAAAAACAAACTAAACATAAATCTAAAATATTAGAAAAAATATTCTAATGCTTTAGCTTTTTTTTCCTCAGAATTACCAATACCTGAATATTTTGAATCCACTCAGTAATTCTCTAGATATAAAATTTTCACCAAAGCAAATGTCATGTCAAGAAAATGTATAATACAATACAAAGGAATAGTTACGCATTCAGATTTTCGATATAGTGTCAAACGATTGCCAAAAAGCACAATGATCTCAAAATAGACAGGCATGTCAACAAGAAATGTTTGGCATTTATACAAGTCAACTTGGCTAATATTGACAGTTTTTGGCTTTATGTAATTAAAATGTTGTTTAAGAAAAGGTAACAGTATGTTGGTTAGGTCATATTCTATAACCTATGTTGGGTGGAGAGATTTTGTATAACTTTTGTTATCTTCTTTTACAATATGTTTCATTCGAGCAAGACTGCCTTTAGGTTTAAAATATCATAGAAACTTTGTGGACACTACATTCTTTTATACCTTTGAAAAAAAAAAACATACAGTTGCATAGAAATAACTGTATAATGTACAAGATAACTAATTTAATCAATTATATATTATAACTGCGTTTCCACTGACAATTGTGAAGGAAAGCTAGCTGTAAGCTAGCTTAGAGCTAGCTTTATTGCCGAACACGTTGCGTTTACACTGAGTTTTTCTAGTTCCCGAACGACTTTGGTCTCGATCATAAAGTCGCACATTATTGACAGCACGCGATGTACAAGACTATCGTTAAACTCTTTACTTATTTTTAAGTAGACCTTTTTGTCTCTGATGGTTCCATCCAACAAAGCTTGAATATCCTCTCTGCCCCAAATTTCTAAAAGGGAGAGAGTCTCTTCGTCTGTCCATCCGTTTGCTATGGAAGCTGCCATTTTTAAAGTTGCGCGCGCTGCCGGAAAGACAAGTACGCCCCCTATTGCCGAACGAGAAAAAGCCGGCTTTTTGTGTTTCCACTGAGTAAACGAAAGCCAGCTTTCATTTGGCCCCCGATAAATTGCCGAACGAGAAAAGCTTCAATTGCCGAACTGGTACGGTTCCCGAACACTAACGCTTCGGCAATTTGTCAGTGGAAACACAGTTAATGTTTCAGTATTTAATAGATATTTTGTATGAGAAAAAAAGTTATTACTCAGTTGGCATTGTGAGATCATTATTTGGAAATATTTAAAATCTTAATACACTGATAGTCGTATATTCCTTTTACACTTGGTTTGAATATAAGCAACCTGCAGCTTACCCAATAAAAATTGCTTTTACCACCAGTGCTGTACCCTTCCCACTTTCAACAGATTGCGTTTGCTCTTTAGCAAAAAAGTGTGGAAAAAGTCTGCTGGCATGCCAGATCCCAATCAAATTTTTACTAGGCCAGGCAAGCTTAGACTTAAACCCATTTACAATTATATTAAATTGTGCTCTAAAAATATGAAGTATTTGCATTACATGGTTTGTGTAGACTTGTCTCAAACCATGTCTCATTTCTTCCTTGTATTGGCAATAGGTCCAAATAAAGTCTAATATATAGTCTTAGTCACAGACTAGTGCACAATGAGTCAATAAGGAAAAGGTAATATTTTTATCAAAATGATTTCCTATTTCCACTATATAACCAGGATAAAGTTTGGTTTTGAACTTGTCAGTCTAGCAAGTTAGATGCACACAAAACTAAAAGTCAAGAGTTCAGTTTCAACATCAAATAAGATCATCAATCAGATCTGGAATCCCAAACTTGCAAAATGTACATGAAGTTGAATAAAAATCTTGTGAATAAATTTGTGAATAAATGTGCTTAGAATTGTTTGATCCCTCCATATACAGAATTAAGATTAAAGTAATCAGTACCAGTATTCAAATTAGTGCTGGCACAATATATATCGGTGAATCAATGTATCACTATACAACATGCCAAGGTATGCGCATTGTATCGCAACGTCATGTATCAATATTTGGCTACCTTTTATTACATAAATAAGTTGTGATTTCTATAAGTTTTATGATATTACAATTTTTTGCACTTTTTATAAGACAATGGACTCTGACCACTTCTATCAACTATATTACCTTTACTATATAAAGTTATGAATTAATATATATAGGAACTTTGAAGATAAAATGTCCATGTTAATACCAATACCCCTTATCGGGACCCTTGTATCGCAATACATATTGTAATGTGACATGATTGACGATTCATTTATTTAGTGAGCCGCGCTTTTTATAGGTAAAATGTGCAATGATTAATGTTTTTGACATGCATATTATTCGACATTAGCATTATATATATATATTTTTTATATATACATTTCAAACAAATATATGAATACATTGACCAGATACTGTTAAACATTGACCAGATACTCAAACATTGACTAGATACTCTTAAACATTGACCTGATACTCAAGCATTGATGATTGACCAGATAGTCAAGCATTGACCAGAAACTGAAACATTGACCAGATACTGTTAAACATTGACCAGACACTTAAACATTGACCAGATACTGTTAAACATTGGCCAGATTCTGTTAAACATTGACCAGATACTCAAACATTGACCAGATACTGTTAAACATTGACCAGATACTGTTAAACATTGACCAGATACTCAAACATTGACCAGATACTGTTAAACATTGGCCAGATTCTGTTAAACATTGACCAGATACTCAAACATTGACCAGATACTGTTAAACATTGACCAGATACTGTTAAACATTGACCAGATACTGTTAAACATTGGCCAGATTCTGTTAAACATTGACCAGATACTTAAACATTGACCAGATACTCAAACATTGACCAGATACTGTTAAACATTGACCAGATACTGTTAAACATTGACCAGATACTCAAACATTGACCAGATACTCAAACATTGACCAGATACTGTTAAACATTGACAAGATACTGTTAAACATTGGCCAGATTCTGTTAAACATTGACCAGATACTGTTAAACATTGACCAGATTCTGTTAAACATTGACCAGATATTATTAAACATTGACCAGATACTGTTAAACATTGACCAGATATTATTAAACATTGACCATATACTGTCAAACATTAACCAGATACTATTAAACATTGACCAGATATTGTTAAACATTGACCAGATACTCGAGAACTGTTTTCTCTTTCCAGATGTTCAACAAGAGAAGAATCACCAACAGCTAGTTGATGGTGTTGAGAAGTTTGATGCCTCAAAATTAAAACAAGTTGAAACTCAGGAAAAGGTTGTTTTACCTGATCCATCAGGTATGTTAATGAAACACAAAAAGATTTTAACTTATTTTGTCATTTGAGTTGTTCAGCCTAGTAAATAGGCTTACTTAGATCTAGACTATTGTCTATTGTATAGAAACTATGAAAAGTATTTCATATCCTATTGTCAACCAAAGATAAATCTACATCTTCAAGTTAAAGGGAAAGTCTGATAATTATATCAGTCAGAAAATGTAGGTGCTCAAATTAAGAAAAAGTATAGACAAAAATCTAGTCAGGTTTGTCCCTAAACTAGAACTGGAGAAAATAATTGAGAAAACCTAATGTTCATATTTAGAATGCCAAAGCTATCTAAAAGGTTTACAAAAACTTTTTACAATGGCTATGTTTTTTAGTCGGTGTTCAAAACTAATGTACAGATTTTGGCAAATTAAATGCCAAATTGTAGAGAAAAATGTCAGTAACTTATTTGAAGGTTTCAACTAAAAATATTAAGTCTTTATGAGTCCCAAGTTTGAACTGCTTACTAAATTATAAGTACACTCCATTCTTGAATAAACTGTTTAAAACAAAGTTTGATCAAGTAGATACATATAAACATTTTGTAAAAATTTTACATACTGCCCCTTTAATACTGTTTGATGGATAGTGTATTGTGCTGTGAGTTGTCTGATGATTAATGTGAAATGTCAACTAATGTTGAGACAATAGATGACTGCAGAAATATTTACTAGGTAGTGGGGAATATAGAAATTTCAGTTTACCAGGGTCACTAAGGGTGGCCAAAGTGGCCAACAATGTTAAGGTACTGCCAACTTTAAAGATGGACAGTACAATAACTACTCAGTTTAGTTTATTTTGAGAAAAGAATAACCACTGCTCTAATTCCTTGCGCAGTGATGCAGTGTAGGCTTATACTATATCTACCCTTTAATGGCATTAAGTTAGACATCTTAATTTAATAAAAGGTACAAATCAAAAAGTATATCCCTATTTACAGGAAGATGAACTAACTCTCTGAAGAAAAAAGAAATGCTCTGCTATCTGGTTTATTGATTATTATTTTTTTTATTCATCAGTGATAGCTAAAGAAAAGACAGAGACTGAGCTGAGAGAAAGAATTGGATCTTTTAATAAAAATGATTTAAGTCATGCTCAAACTGTAGAGAAAACAGTTTTACCCAAAGCAGAAGGTGAGTTAATAGCACCGGTCTTTACAGTATTAAAATCAAGATACGATATAGATTCTAATCATATATAAGGAAAATGGAATTAAAGAAAATTCAGATTATATACATGTAGGGTAAAATATATAGGTAATTCAGATTATATACATGTAGGGTAAAATATATAGGTAATTCTAGATATTCAAACAATTCAGATTATATACATATGTAGGTTAGAATATCTAGATAATTCAGATTATATACATGTAGGGTAAAATATCTACATAATTCAGATTATATACATAAAGGGTAAAATATCTACATAATTCAGATTATAAACATGTAGGGTAAAATATATACATAATTCAGATTATAAACATGAAGGGTAAATTATCTACATAATTCAGATTATGAACATGAAGGGTAAAATTATCTACATAATTCAGATTATGAACAAGAAAGGTAAAATATCTTCATAATACAGATACGTATACATGTAGAGTAAATTATTTAGATAATTCAGATTATATACATGTAGGGTAAAATATCTACATAATTCAGATTATATACATGTAGGGTAAAATATCTACATAATTCAGATTATGAACATGAAGGGTAAAATATCTACATAATTCAGATTATAAACATGTAGGGTAAATTATCTAGATAATTCAGATTATATACATGTAGGGTAAATTATCTACTTAATTCAGATTATGAACATGAAGGGTAAAAATATCTACATAATTCAGATTCTTAACAAGAAAGGTAAAATATCTACATAATTCAGATACGTATACATGTAGATTAAATTATTTAGATAATTCAGATTATATACATGTAGGGTAAAATATCTACATAATTCAGATTATGAACATGAAGGGTAAAAATATCTACATAATTCAGATTATCAACAAGAAAGGTAAAATATCTACATAATTCAGATTATCAACAAGAAAGGTAAAATATCTACATAATTCGGATTATGAACATGAAGGGTAAAAATATCTACATAATTCAGATTATCAACAAGAAAGGTAAAATATCTACATAATTCGGATACGTATACATGTAGAGTAAATTATTTAGATAATTGAGATTATTTACATGTTGGGTAAGTTTAAGTGTATATACATTCATTACATAGATAATTCAGATTATTTCTAGATACTTGTAGGGTAAAATATCTAGATAATTCAGATTACATATATATACATGCCTAATTATGTAGATGATTAACAGCCATTGAAAGGTCAGGTTTACATCTAGTTTTTCCTGAAAACTTGTACTTATTTTCTTAACATTTCCTCATTACACTTGATTTATCATTGTTCATTGTTTAGATTAAAGAACTGGTTTCAGGAAATATTACTTAAAGGGATTGTAAAGAGGTTTTCTAAATTTTGTTTGTGTATAGGGGGACATTTGCACCATTCCAATTTTCGATCAGAAATCTCTGAAACCAGCAATTCCACTAAAACTAAGTGTTTAACGTCACTTATCGGAAAATATGCTTCATCACATAAGGCTCTGAGTGATTAGTGACATCATCAGGAATTACTGATGCCTGATTGAAAATTGAAATAATGCAAATTGATGTCCCGATACAGATAATTTTTTTTAGAAAACCTCTCTACAATCACTTTAATGTCATATGCCTGTTCTTTTGCTTGTAATGTAGATAGTCACTGGTAATAGAAAATATTAGATAATTTTGGGTGGACATATGTTCCTTAGTGTTGTTTAAGAATTTGTTAAAAAAAAAGAATATGTAGATTACCAGTACTGGTAAATGAAAATTCATATACCACGTGTGAATCAAATAAGTAGAAATTTTAAAAAGTCTGACAAATTGACAAGCTTTAAGTGTTCCAATATGATTAGATTGTCATATCCTCCAAATAAATACTGTTACAACAATATTTCAAATATGTTTTTTTTATTAAAATTCTTAGTGTATATTTTGTCAAAATCAGTCCTTTTGGTCACTTTTAAAGCTTGATTTTGCATTAGAATGTTTTATTAAGATTATATTAGTTCCCAGGGCCCTTTAAAACAAAAAATCTTAGTCAATTTCGTAGTAAATATGGTATTTCTCCATGTTGAATTCTACAACAAATTCTTATGGTAAGATTTTTTGTGTAACGGGGCCTAGACCTTTTAGTTATAATGTCACTATTTATTGTTAATAATTTGATTCTTGTAGATGTGAAACAAGAAAAAACTCATCAACAGCTGTTAACTGGAGTAACTAATTTTGATCACGATCAGTTATCTCAAACTCAGACCAAAGAACGTACTGTTTTACCTGATACAAGCAGTGAGTTATTTTACCATTATTATGTCAACTAATAATATTCATTGTTATCATAGTGATCTATTATATTAGCTTATTGAAATATGATATCCTAATTACACACGTTTTGGGCTGTGCCATGTGCCAATTAATAATTCCATTTTCTTGTGGGACATTATATTTTAAAAGGAGAGAATGTACACAGCATGGTTTGCAGTCCACTGTATATGTGTTAAAATTGGCTGTGTTAAGAAAGAGCTTTGTATCAAGAATTTTATAGTGTTTTGTAGACACTGAATGGATTTCTCATATGAAAGAATGTTCTTTCAGAATTCAAATGAAATTTGCAATCTATATTTGATTTACATTGAGTGTTTTTCATTGATTTCACCTACTTAATAATTTACACCCACATGGAAATGTGGATGTATATTGCTGTCGCCCCGTCGTCCGTCTGTATTTCTGGTATACAAATAGAGGCTTCAGCTTTTATCTGATCTTGAGTACGCTTGTAGATATTGATAAATCCTCAGTCAAGTTCGAAATTTGTAATAATCGGATGAACGGTTTCAGAGTTATGACACTTGACTTAGTAAAAATTTGCCTTGTATGCACAATAAAGGCTACATTGATCCCATCTTGATGAAACTTAGTATGCATGTATATATTGATGAGATCTCAGTCCAGTTCAAAATTGGTAATAATTTGATGAACAATTTCAGGGTTATTGCCCTTGACTTCCTAAAAATTTGGCTTGTAGGCACGATATAAACTACAGTTGATGAAACTTGGTATGCATGTATATGTTGATGAGATCTCAAGTTCAAATATGGTAATAATTAGTTGAATGGTTTTGGAGTTATTGCTCTTGAATTAATTCAAATTTGGCTGGTAGGCCTGAAAGACATTACATTTTTTATCCGATCTTGATGAAACTTGGTATGAGATCTCAGTAAAGGTTGAAATTAGTAACAATCGCATGATTGACTTCACATATTAAACCACTACAGACTTTGTTATCATTTCTGACAGCTGTTAGTGGGCGTATGTTACCTTGCCTGGCAAGCTATAGTTTGATAACCCGAAAAAAGGGTCTTCAAGTTTTTAAACTGAACATCAAAATCAAATTTATTTTCAACTTATTTTAAACAGTGTTAGCTGAAGCAAAAAAAGAATATGAACATCGTGGCAATATAGAATCTTTTAAAAGAAGCAGTTTAAAACGCACTACGTCTATAGAAAAAAATACGTTACCAACTTCTGACAGTAGGTCTAAAAGCGTTTGAACTCTGTTATACCTGTCTTGACTTGATTGTTTGACTATTTGAATTGAAACCAGCTTGCACACTTATCTTATTTTATTCCATTGTTTAATCTGTATTCCTTTCTTACCCTTCTTTCTTTAAGAATTCTACTGTGGGCTCTTATTGTTAATACATATAAAAATCTATGTACAGAATTTTAAAGGAAAGAATCCAGAGCCATTGGTCATATTCTCGTGTAGAACCATGCATGAGAAGTCTAGTCCAAACACTGTATCAAACACCAGAATTCTTTACACAATGTCCAACCCATGAATGATAGTAGCACATTCTACTGAATTTGTTTGTATTCTGTCTGTAACTACTTCTATTATACCTAATTGTATCACTGGGAAACAGTAACTCTAGGAAACCATAAACTGTAACACAGATAAAGATAAATGTTATTCCTCAATAATTGAAAAATACATTGCATTGTGACTGAACACTAGATACAGGGTTTAAGCAAGGCCTTCTCAATTAGTTTAGGTAAAGGGCCAATTGCAATTGATGAATGAAATAGAGGAGCGAGTGGATCATTTTAGCGTGTGGGGTCAAGGGGCCCGAAAGCTCTAATGCTTTACCCCGTTTTTTCACTAATTTTAATCAAAAAAGCATTGCAACAAGTTCATTGGTCAAATCAAATTAATGACAGGGTTAGTGGTTGAAATGATGAGGTCAGCCATAAGATATTTGCAAAAATATCTTGTCGACCCCTATAATTGCATTTGTCCATTTGTAATATATTTATCAGTATTATTTCTTTTCAATTATTCCAGAAGTAAATGTTGATAAAAATACACTAATGGAAAATATTTTGAAGGGTCCGTTTCATCTCAAACAGAAGGCCTGGCTTTTGTGGTGGAAGGGAGATAATTCACAGAATTTTAAGAGTTACCCCCCTTCTTGATATAATGTTAGAAGTCTGCAACTATGTGTTCCTTTTTTTCAGCTATTAATCAAGAAAAACAGGATATTGAAATGAGAAAATCTATTGAAGGTTATCATAAAGATAATTTGAAGAAAACTGACTGTGTTGAGAAAATTCACCTTCCCTCCAAAGATGGTAAGATTAGTCAATAATGAGACCTACTATACAGTAAAGTTAACTAGTTATATATTACATACAATGGGGTCGGTGCCAAATTGAATAATTTTTTTTGGTGTCTGAACTAATGTTTTCTTATAACATATTGTTTATGACCCTAGGAGAATAACTATCAAAATATGTTTCAGAGATCAGTAATATAATTATAGATATTGCAGCATTATGGTTTATGCTTACCTACTTGTTATTAAGTAATAAATGGATGTTATTTGAATGTTACGGATTATGTTGTATTAGTTGTTTGGTTTTTTTAACCTGATTTCAGATTTGAATTATTGGTTTCACCTGTTTAATTTTATTTTTCAGAAATTGACCAAGAGAAAAGACTGAGCAGTGGTGTTTAAGAATCAGTTGATTTGTGACATAATTTTGTGATTTTTAAAACCATCAAATGTTATTGTATATACCAATGTGTAGATTTAGTTACTTTGTATAATATTCCTTATATAATCCATTATAACCTGCATTTTCTTAATGCTCTTTTATTATATCCATTTGCTTTGACTTAAAGGGATATAGTTGTTTAAATATTTTCTTTATCAGATGATTGAGATCCTTTAATCCATCCATATCACTTTTCAGAATTAAAAACTGATGTTCCATTCCCCTATAATTAAACAAAATTAAATTGCACTGTTTTTGACTAATGTTACTTCTTGAGATTTATTTACATTCTCGCCTTCAGTTGATATAGATATTTAAAACATTTTTGTTATACACTCTGTTAGTGATGACAGTCTAAATTTGATTGATATATATTTTCATTGCAGACATAAAGGTATTACTATAAGCTGGTTTATCAAATATTTAGATGACTGAATCCCATTAAGGAGATATAAAGATATATCACTGCGATTATTATCTAAGAGTATAACTTTTTGGGTTCCTGGCTAACAGTAATAATTCTCAGCCTTAGAAATAGGTCTTGACATTCCCTTTACATTGCTCAGTACAAAGCAAAGGAGGTCACAGGTTCCATATTATTGTGAAACTATTATGTATTGGTACTTAGATTTTTTTATAAACAGAAGTTAATATTAATTTCAAAATCCCTCCTAGAAGCTTTTGTTCATTATTTTGGTCACATTGAGTAAAGTTTTATTTGCAGCATAGATTACTCATATTTTTCTTAAAAATTCTGAAACTTTAGTCAGATACTCTTCCTCTCCTTATATTATTGTAATTTTTTTTCTTTCATTTAATGTACTGCATCGGTTTCTCATTTGTTGCACCATTTAATAGTATTTTGAGTTGGCATTAGGTTTTTAGACCATTCACTTATTAACAATAATACGTTTTATAGTCGTAATTCATAAATGAATTTGAAATGCAAAAAAAAACATAACATGTAGTATATTAAACATTGAATTGTTGATTTGGAGAACATGATTGTGCTTGTTACTTGTTAGTTAAAATTTTTGTTGTAACTTTTGATAAAGCTAGTCTAGCTTGCCAGCTTCTTGTTATATTTATGTCACCTTTTTCTTTGTTTTTTTTCTTTGTTTTTTTTTCATGTATGCTTTGTACTCAATATGATTAAAAAAGTAAGGCATTCATATATAGCTACAAATAACAAGATTAAAGTGAGATCTTGCCTGTGCATTGTAATTAAGTCAAAAATGATAATTTTATTGGTCAAGGAACCTCTAAAATATCTAAAAAATTTCAGTGAAAATGACACTTTGGTATTAAAATTAATTCAAGAAATTTCTGAATTTTCCAATCCAAATTCTCTGAATTTTTAGTTAAATTCTTAATTCATACTGACCTTGAAATAGCTGTGAAGGTTTGTTCATGTGAATAGCTGCTTTTGTGATGATTCAAAAAGTTGCTTTCATTCCAAAAATTTCTGCAAATTGCTCAGAATTTTTATCTTTCAATTTTTTTTAAATCAAAAATTAATATACAGTATGATAAAACAGGAAGAAAATTTACCTTAGGGTAGATGGCAACCTTGACAAAGGGGTTTAGATATTGAACTCAATTTTATTTCAAGAGATGTGTACATATTGAATATATCTCTGTTCAAGAGGAGTTTACATATTCAACTCGACTCTGTTCAAGAAGGGTTTACATATTGAATATAACTCTGTTAAAGAGGGGTTTACATATTGAATATAACTCTGTTAAAGAGGGGTTTACATATTGAATATAACTCTGTTAAAGAGGGGTTTACATATTAAATTTGACTCTGTTTAAGAGGGTTTACATATTGAACTCGACTGTTCAAAGGGGTTTACATATTGCACTCAATTGTGTTGAACTCAACTTACTTTAGTGCCTATCTTTACAGCATTCAAAAATTTCTATGCAATTTTCAATTCCAATATATATTTTGTTTAAATAGACATTCATTAGGCTTAAGCTTAAATTTAGCAGGATTTTCAAAATTGATAACTGAAAGTGAATTTTAAAATCAATAGTTTGATGATAATCAGTATTACTTTAGTTCTTTCTTATTATGCTTTTAATTAGAGCTTTATTATGATAATTTGCATTATTCCAATATTTTAGCAATTATACTGAATTTTTTTTACATGACAATAAATATTGATTATGTATCATTGACTTATCATTACACTAGTTCTATAAAGTGGGTGAAAGTGGTTGTGTGTATATATTAAGGTAACTTTGAGCCAATTACTTTCCTTCCCATTTAAAATCTCAATTAAATTATATTTTCCGCACTCTATCAGTATATCTTGAGTGTCTAAGACAGATATAATTCACATAAAAGTAGCAAACTTAATCACCAAGTGTATATATCCAATAATTATATAGTTTATAGAGGATCTTAAAGAGTGCTTATGTAAAAATTATGAAATGAGTTGCCAAATATAATAGGGGGGAATATTTGATCTGGCAGCAAATTTCATCAATTTCATATTACATAAGCACTTGTTTGATATCCCCTATAAACTAAATAATAGAATACCTACAAATTTAACTGAGTCGTGGACTTCAAAGAATGCCATGTTGTTCTGTTAGTTATGACGCCAAGGTTGGAAATTTCAATGTTTTGGTCATCCTTAGAGGTAGTATACCTTTAATAACCACTATACTTGTGATCTGGGCAATGAGACCCTTTCAGTAATAGTTACAATTTGAACTGACCATATTCTGTAATTAAGTTACATTTAATTAATGTTACACAAAATCATCTCATCTCATGAAATTTGATTTAAAATGAACAAAACTGTTGTCATTATGGTTTTATGAAATAATACATAATAATAATATTTTTCGTGCTATGGCCCAGCAAATTCAGATAGATGCTCAACATGTTTTATATACCCAGGGAGCATAAGTATAAGATAGATAGAACTTTTAACTTGAACATCCTGCCTCTTAATGCAAGTCAGAAAGGAGAAACTTAAGATCTTGATGCTATTTGATCTGCTGTTAAATTAGACTAGGCAAATGCAGCTGTTCTAAACACATTTATTACATTGCTTGTTGTTACTTGGTGCTCTCTGGCTTGACCTTCTGCAAATTTCAAGAAAGAAAGATTCGCTGAACTGTCCATATATTATTTATTATATAGGCTACATATTTGAGCTCACAATATGGGAATATGATGTTCAAAGAACTATTATTGAAGACATTTCAGAATGAATCTTGAACCATAATCATATTAATAAAACATATCGCATAAATACTAAAACTGAAAGATTGAATTCTTGAAAAGATAACATAATGGCATAAATTAAATACATTTACGTAACAATAGCAGCAGCAATGATTATAAAACATCACATTTACACAATTTCAGTTCTTGATCACATCATTAGACTATTTCTGGACCCGACATAGGCCCACCTACCTCCAAGGATAAGAGAGTTCGAAATTCTCACATCCAAGAAGTGGCCTATACTGAAGATGATTACTGAAGATTAACATGTTGTTAATACATAAAGATCTTCAGTATTTTATTTGGTGCAAACACATCCTTTTACTAAAATATTTCCATGATCATAGTCATATAAAACCGGCCATACGTAATAATCAACCTTATTAGCACTATTCTTATCACAGGCCCACCATAACTTGTGTTTTACGTCATCATACTGAGGATCGTCTGCAACAAGAGTCATTTGTGGTTGCTGCAAGATCATTTGCCATGTAACCCGCGATGCTTCACTTATATATCTATGTACGGCTTTGTTGCTTAACAAAGAACGTTGATCTCGTGGAAGACTCTGTTTAATATTCTGAAATAAGATTTACAAAGGTAAGTTTCAATGAGATTGTTTCAATGCTGCGACTGCTACAATCAGGGCGATCGAGCCCCGTCGACAGGAATGAATTGGTGCTGGGGCTCAGATTTCGTTCTCAGAAAAGGCCCAGAGAGCTAATTTCTGACAATTTTCAGTTGCCAAAACGTATCAAAATCTTTTTGATTTTGTACAAAGACACTGTAAATTAATCAGGCTACACGAATTTCATAAACAGACCTACAGTTTTAATTTCTGGGTTTGGGATTCCAGACTTTTACAAAATTCGTGTTGCTTATGAATTCCAATTAAATACTCACCTCCACAAAGTCGAAAGGGTCCAAATCATCACAGATCTGCCGCAAACTTATTCTTAGAGAATCTGTCATTTCATCTGGAAGAGCAGCAATATCCCCATTTGATATATTCTCACAAATTGATTTCTGAAAATAAAAACTAAATAATTAGACTGTGTTAAAAATTTTCTTGATGCATGATTAGCCAAAAAAAAACTGACCCAGTCACCAATTCGCAGATGTAGATCTGTCTGGAAATGTATTGTGTAAACGTAATGCACCCACTGTCAGGAAGGTGCAAGTTTTCTGAAACCAAAAGACATATCACTTTTTTCGCACAATTCCCGAAAAACTAACCAGTTCACACAACTTTGTCAAAGGCTAGAAAATTTCTTGAATCATTTTAAAGAAAGGATACAAGACTGATGAAATACAACCATTTATATCAAATTACAGTTTTCTGCAAATAAGCTAGTTCACGAAGTAAATATCACTAACCGCTAAGGATGGTCTTCTAATTAATTCTGCTATAACTGTTTCTAAGTAGTTGTATATATCTTGGGAAGCATGGTACGATCTCTGAAAATATACAATACTTTCAAGGAGATCTCTTCATCTATCTGTCAAAATCTAAATTTGGAACCAAAATTATAAGATGACAACAGAACTGTAACTGTCCCCAAGTACAAGGATCAAGGCGTAAATCAGTAAGACTGCCTGACTTAATTGAAAATTCATTTGAGAAACGAATTTGAGCATCTGTTTATTCTTACCATAATAATATCACACAGGAACTTGGTTATAGCTTCTTCATCCATGCCTGTAGTATCTTCTAGATTCTCTTTAGCATCCATCCATTCTTGACTTTCTAATGTATCATATCTCATAGCTATATTCGTCGGTCGACATCGTTCACTGATATTTTCTGTATAACGATTATCGGTTCTGGGTATGGGTTTTACACTACTCGTTAACCTGTGAAAAATATATTTACTCTGCATGGCGAATTCTATAGTAGCGTCATTCTGAACACAATAACCTACAGAAGCTATTCCAAACGAGATGATGCGCAATGTGTGGGCATATATGTTTATTATTTTAACACTTTAGCCCTGCTATTTATTCACACATAGAGCAGTGCTCACTCTACGGGTTACAGGCTTTGAAGGATTCTCTTCCTATTTAATTAGTGGTTTTGTATGTATCAAAACTAACACGATGTCGAATTTTGAGTTGATCAAAACAAATTTCGACGCACTTTTGGAGGAATTAGCAAATCTGTCTTTTTCTGTATTTTGTGTTCATCCAAAGTTTTTTTAATCAATATGACAAAAGACAGATTTAGATGGCCTGAGATGAATTTTGAGCACTCAGAGGGCTTAATTTTCAATACAGAATAAGATGTCCCAACGCTCCCCAGCCCCTCCCCCCTAATTACTGACCGCTTGATTTCGTCATCCTTGGCATACAAATAGTTGCCATTAGGTGCCCATGTTTTACATACTAGCAAAAAGTGGACCGTGATGTTGACGAGATGAGATTGCCACCAGATGACATATCATTCGGTAGATTTCACTTACTTTTGCTTTAAAGTATCGTTTTCTTTTTTGGTGTTGGTTAATGTGACTTCTAAACTCTTATAATCTTGACGAACTCTTTCCACTGATTTCTGTGCTGTATCAAAACCTACTTTATGGCGTTTGTATTCATCTTGCACGGTTGCATTGATGTGCTGCAAATCCTTGACTTCTTTCTGAAGCTTTTCTACTTTAGCTGGAAAAAATACTTGTATGTACACAGAAGTGAATTGCGGTTTGAAGGAAAACCAACATAAAAAGACTATGCATTAAGGTTTAAAAAGTAGACGAGTTTGCTATTTTCATTTATACGTCAAGATTGAATTTTTCAACTAAATTTGCTGAGCTGTGGTGAAATCAGTATGTAAAAAGTCACAAAACTGGAATTTTCTTGATTTCTTTTGGAACAAAAAACGTCTGGAGCCTACCACCCTGAATATGAAGATTTAAACCGTCATTTCGAAAGCATGCCTTATGGCCATGAGCATGGATGATGCATTTGAATCAAGAACTATCAGATTCTGAATATTGTTGCGAAGTCTTGTACATACCTTTCAATGAATCGTTTTCAGTCTTAGTTTTATGTAAATCGTTAATAATAACATCTCCAGGACCTTGAACCTTTCCAGGTGATGACCGCTCATCTGATGATCTTCCGCGAGATCTTCTCAAGTCTTCATTTTCTCGTTTAAGTTCGTCTAATTTAACCCATAACTGTCCCATACCACCAGCAGTACGAGATGGTCTTGGTGGAACAGCCGGCTTCTTCGTGCTCGACTTGGTAGCTTCAACCAAGAGCCCATCAATCAATGCCTTGGCTTTCTCTAACAAATGTTTACTCTGTTGGTCTCTTTTCTTCAAAAGGAATACATTTTCTAGACTTGAACTAAAGTTTTTGGCTTCTGTGACAAGATCTTTGGTCGCGTTGGATGACATGATGATTTTGATTCTCTCTAGGATCTATCAACGATTCCTTTCTGAAATTAGTAAAAAGTTATTATCCTGATGAAAATAAGTCAATCGCATCTGTTTCCAAAACAACTTTCAGGATATTTGCCATCTTTTTAATACCAAAAAAGTTTCTTGAGTGGGCCTTTTCTCCTGGGTGATTGTTGGAAACAAAACTAATATCTTAAATCTAAAAATTATTGGACCTAGTGAGTCACATAATCTTGATATTCCGTTTTTTTATGTTTTCATCAGCAAAGTATAGAAACCATAACGTGTTAAACAATTCCCATATGCTGAATATCCAATTGTGTAGAATAAAGCATGAATCATGACTTTATGTGATAAAATGTCACTTATCCAAGTATTTAGCTGCATTTTCTGAGTCATCAGCATCAGGAATATTGATTTTATGCAAATTCAGTCAGCAAGATCAATTTACCTCCAAGAATTATGTCTGAAAGTCTTAGTCATTGCATGAAAGAAAGTATAAAAAATCTGTATAACATAACCTACAAGTAATCATTTACAGTTGAGGCCTAAAATACTAGGCACCATCTAACTATCTGGTAGGGGCGGGGTTCGTTAAAGTAATGTTAAGAAGCCTAGAAAGCACAATCAAGATTACAATCTATAATATCCAAGACTAATTTTAGCTCACGTGAACATTGGTAACCCGTACAAACCACTACCACTATATTACACACTCGTGCATTGAACAATAGATTTTCGGTAATTTAATACAGTTGACAAATTTCTTTTAAAATGCAAGAAGACTTCATCCTTATGTTAAACATTTCAACCGGTAACCTTTATCTTGGAGGTTATTATAAATAATAGTCTAACCTAGATAATATATATGCACTGGAAAAAACATATTTTAGTCAGGAATAAGTGGAAAATACCCGAGTAGAAAATAGAATAGTTATTATTAAGAAACAAAGTATAAAATATAATATATATAATTCTTACCGTGTATCAGATGATGTAGAACGAGTGACAAAGAATATTCAGAATTCCCAGTTCTTCGTAAAATCGATATTCTCTATTATAATGACCACGCGTAAGCTATATTCCCCGACAACGACGGTTATTCTCTGATAGTCTGTTAAATTTGGATACAAGCAGTAGATTCATTTATGTAAATTGATTCATAAGTCATAGCATGTCTTGAAAATTGATTCAAATTTGTGTAACACTAATTCTTCATTGAAATATTGTCCTCGTTGGATTACTTGACTTGTATAAAGTGCAGTTGATATTGTTGATTCAGAAGCAGACGACATTTTCTCCGAGAAGACGCGAAACAGGCAATTATTATTGATCGCTTTACAGGAATCCATAATTAATGTGATCTAGAGTCATTTCTAAACATACTGTAGATCATGGCGGATAGTGATAGTACCAAGAAAGACCCACCAACGTCACCAAAAAATCAACCAGGAATTCAATTTGGAAATCCAGGAGGATCTTCGACGTCAGTTTTGGAATCACCGGATACTGAAAATGCAGTGGAATATCAGATTGTTGCTGCCATAGATTTTGGTACAACATTTAGTGGATACGCGTATTCATTTGCTTCAAACAAAGAAACTATACATGTGAATAAGAACTGGGGACAAACTCAAGGATTTCTCTTGCACAAAACACCCACTTGTTTGTTGCTTAAACCTGACGGCCAATTTGATTCGTTTGGATTTGAAGCTGTATCCAGATACAATGAATTGCCCGAGGAGGAAGCTTGTGATTATTATTATTACGACCGTTTCAAAATGAAACTCTATGATAATAAGGTATGAAGAGAAAGCTTTAGTATGATTTAACTTCTTTCATGCATGATTGCACCCATAAGCTTTATGTGGAAACGGTAAATTCAGATATTGTGAACAACTATTGCACGATCGATATCGCCCGTAACCTAATCATTATATGACTCAATATGTCCCTGTTATTCTAATCGTGTAATTGCGTAAGAATCACAGTCGACAGTTCAAAGGCTATTATCTTTATAATAGTTGGCTGATTATGACAATGCTTTGTTTATTTCGGCATATATATCCGTTTTTAAGAGTCGAACTAAGATCCTTTCAAACATCTGTTGCGAACCATTGCATTACCTGTTTTCTTTGAAAAGTTGATTTTCATTTTCTTTACCCTCCCTTTCAGATTTTAGACTATGAAGCCTTCACATTCACATTTTGAATTTCAATCCCTTTGAGTTTATTTGTCTTATTCATCGTTTTCTAAAATACGAATATCATATTTAGCTATTGTTGAAATAAACCGTATTATCTCATTTTTACAGGATTTAAACACAGAAATCACAATATCAGATGCTAATGGAAAATCTCAACTAGCTGTTGATGTTTTTGCCAATTCCCTTAACTTCATTAAGAAGCATTTATTGAGGGCCGTGGGCGCTCATCTTGGTTGTGATCCACACCCCGATACAGTTCGTTGGGTTTTAACAGTTCCTGCTATCTGGGATGAGAATGCTAAGCAGTTTATGAGAGAAGCTGCCCATAAGGTGAATTGATGTTCTGTCTTATCACCCAAACCAATAATACCATAGTTTCATGATATCATTTTCTCCTGAATCAGAATTGAATCATTTTTCCCCAAATTGATCAGATCAACTTTGATTTAGTTTTGGTAGAAGTTAATATGGCATCAAATTGAAGATAATTTCTTTACATGTACGTGTATTTACTTTAGGCAATATATTATAAAAGCGTAATAAGTGAACTAGCATATGGGTGTGATGCAAGGTTACCGCTTTAGACCTTTCATTTTTGCGCTTTGTGTAAATGACTACGGACTATATAGAATAGTGCATGCTTACACATTTATTAAACAGGAAATTAATACCACATTTTTTATGACCTCGATGCCACTTAAATATTGACTCTCAAATCAATGGAGAAGAAATAACAGATTTCCTTTGTTCTATTTATATCATCAGGGTGGTTTAATCGACAAACAGAACAGTGATCAGTTGGTGATAGCTTTAGAGCCCGAGGCAGCATCTCTGCATTGTCGAAATTTACCGTCAACTAATTTCCTGGGTTATAAAGACAATAACTTAGCCAAGCCAACGTTTGAGCCCGGTACCAAATACCTGGTCGTTGATGCAGGAGGTAAGGAAATGTAACAGCCATTCTCGGGGAATATTTATTTGCAGATATAATGTAGTAGTTTTGAATAAAGATAGTTTGGATTTGAATCTGCTTTTAAGTATATCTGCAGTCTTATTTACACTTAGTAGTTAAATTTCTCCCTTTATTATGACCCTCTGCATTTTCCTTGGTAAATATAGATTGTGAAGGAAATCTGCATCTGCAACATTGAGTTCCATTACGTAGTACTCCCTTGGTTATTATTTACGAAATAGAATTACGCATACACATTCCAATAACTAAATTCTTGGTTTTCTTTATTGTATTCCAGGTGGTACTATTGATGTCGTCGCTCACAAAATTAGGAAAGATGAACGCATTAAAGAATTGTTCCGAGCAACTGGTGGTGCATGGGGCGGTACAGTTATAGACCGACAGTTCTTACTGCTTCTCATCAAAATATTTGGACAGGATTTCATCAATATATTCCAAAAAGAGTATCCCAAAGATTATGTGGAACTCATGCAGGATTTTGAAATTAAGAAAAGGGGAGATAGTGACAGTGTCCGTGTATCTTTGCCTTATAACTTTTGTAATTATAAACACGATGGTGTCAGTGTTCAACAAGCCATTAAAAAGTACGCTACGGACAATGAAAACGGAGTGAAATTTTCATCTGGAAAGTTGGTTCTGACCAGTAAAGTGGTGGACTCGCTGTTTTCAGACGCTTTAGAACAAATCAATGATCACGTTGAACATTTGTTAGAAAAACCTAAAATGAAAGATTTGAAGAATCTCTTCCTTGTAGGTGGTTTTGCTGAATGTATCCGTCTTCAAAATTCTTTAAAATCAAAATTTGGAAACAGACTGACGGTGTTAATTCCAGATGAAGCCAGTCTGTCGGTTGTTAAAGGAGCTGTAGCTTTTGGCCACGACCCGAGTTCTATCTGCCAGAGAATTTGTCGATACACTTATGGAGTTGGTTCTTATCTTCCATATGAAGAGGGGGAACATAGAGAGGATCTAAAGGTTGTCTCGGATGGCGTAAGTCTCTGTAAGAACATCTTACAGCCTTGGGCAGAAGCTGGTGAAACTATTGGCTACAATGAAATTTGGCGCGAAACGTACACACCAATCATCACCAACCAAAAAGGAATCATTTTCGAGTTTTATCGATCCCAGAAGAGAAAGGTTCGATACACTGATGAAAATGGGGTGGAGAAATGTGGTTGTTTGGTTGTGAACATGCCCGATATGACGGGCGACAAAGAGCGGGCTGTAGATCTAGAAGTAACATTTGGTGGAACAGAAATTAAAGTTGTTGGTTTTGACCATACTAGCGTCACCAGACAAGAAACTTACATTGACTTCCTTGCATCATAATAAGTTTATTTGATACCCTTTTGCAATACACATACAGTAATCTTATATGATATTATTTTTCTACACAAGCATTATTTTCAACGAAAATTACCAACAGATTTCCTTTACAGAAGTCACAACACTAAAACCAAAAGATTTTGTCGCTGTTTGAAATTGCTTTAGTTATACATGAATAGAGAATAAGGAAATTTCGAGAGGCTAATAGAAGAAATTGTATATTGTAATTTGGGTGTTGTTGGGTGATGACAATTATTGGGATACCTCATAGTTTTGTTTAAAATTTAGTTAGTAGACAAATTCTTGTTAGTTTAAATACAGTGAACCAACATGTAGCAAATCAAATAGTTTCTCGACTTAGTGTATACCTCCACAGCAAATTATAGACGCAATCAAACCCAGTGTATCCGATATAGGACTTTGCTTCAGAAAATTTCTCGATTTCTGGACCCCAAAAAAAATCCTTCCCAACTTGATCGTGGTCTAAATGAAATGGGAATAAGCTTAATATAATATATATGTTTTTGATTTGATTTACAGAAATCATCTTCTACTTCCATAAAAAAGGTTGTAAAATTTAGTCTGTGATGCTAATTATATATAACTCTCTTCAAGTGAAATGATTTTATTAACTGAATGATACTAATTAAAAATGTTTTATTTTGGATATTAAACTTCATTTGCTACAATTTGGTGTTCCAGTTTCTACGTTTCCCCTCCTTTACACTATAAGAATATTTAATGCCCTTTCTTCTGATGCCCCATAGCTTATCCACCAGAAAATTTATTTAAGACTTTACGGTCATCTGGGTCAAGAACCAGACTTTTGTGCTACAATCGTTTTAGAAGTTCAATTATTACAAGACCTGAGATCTCTCTGGTTTTTACATGCTGAGAACTTACAAGACACTAATGTTAATGTATAAAAACACATTCAATGAACCATGTTCAGCGAAATCTGTAAATTGTTACTTATCTAACTGCGAAATATAGCAGGTGGTCGCCTGAAATTTTACACGCCCTCACAAGGAATTTCAGTTAGTTCCAAATTTTTGTCTATCATCTGTTAATATCGTAACAAGCAGACAATCTTAGTCAAGCAAGACAAATAGCTAAAAGAAATCGTGAAAATGTCACCCAGTGGATTCTGTACAAAAATCACAGAATTAATCACACTCATTCAAGATCTCATCAAGTAACCAAGTTTTCATACATATTCGATCACACTGTTATACTGTTATCTATATGACGAGTCCATTTTGATGTCAAGAACAATACCTCAAAAAACTATTCATTGGAAATCGGATATTCGTGTTTATTGCATACACATTCAAAAGACGGACGAAAGGCGAACAATCATTTAGGCTTGACGACAATCCATAATATAGTGTTGGGGTGTAAAAAATTATCTTTCACTTAACTGGTGCAACCGTGAAAATCAAAATTGCTATTAGTATATTCACTTGTTTTAATATTGTAAAATATTTATATATATACAACAAAACGGTAATAATATAAGTATACGACAAAAGTAATTTAAAGCCGAAATTTGTATATTTAAGATATATAGAATACCCCAGAATAATGAAATACACCATTTTAAATTACACTCTATAATGTACAAAACTCCACACCATAATTTATTACAACACAAATGAGTGGCAATATACTCCTACTCATTCTGTAAAATTGTGAGTAAAATTATTTTCAAAAAATTGCACAATAAAATGTCTCTATTGAATAAATATCAAAAGAAAATAAATTACAAAACATGTTTTTATTGTCAATATTTTTTTTTAGGAGAATTGGAATACAGCCTCAAAATAGTACTGTTAGTCTAAAAATGTCTTTGTGTTGATAAAAATATATTCTTTTGTAAGTTTACATTGAAAAGAAACACATTTGCTGGAAATTGTCCTCTGTAAAAACAAATTTTGAAGACATAATGTGTGCTAAGACTAACAGTAATAGTTCAAGGGTGCTATTCCAATTCTCATAGAAATAATGGGAAAAATTCAAAAGAACTTTTTATTTTTCTCAGACAATAATTATCAAAATTTGTTAGTATTTTCTAAACAGTAAACTGTTAACTGACTAAATAATCCTGAAATGAAAAGTGTTATTGTTTTTTCTGGGCCAGCGAATATAATGAAACATGACTACTGAACAAGAAAAAAAACTTATCACATTACAAATGCATAGTGGTGTTTTTCCTTATAAATCTCAGTTTAGACTTTATGAATACATGTATAACAATAACACCAGGATGCCTTACAATAACCACAAACAGGAAGGTTTCGTTTGGTGTTTCTCAATGAATGGTTTAGCTTCTCATGAAATTGGTCCTAATACAAGTGGAATGTCCATACGAGTCACATGATAATCTTTAAAATATCAGGTACAGTTATTCTATATCAACAATATGATTGTGTCGCTAATTTAATGATATTTTTTACCACAATTACCATAGCCAAAAATTTTTTGATGAAATTGCTTGTTTTATCAGATTTTACAATATTTTTCCTTTATTATTTAAAACATATTGTTTAGGTGTACACTGAGAGGAGTGATTGCTATTACAAATACATTGACTATTAAGGAAACTTTAGCGAAGCATAAGCACCAAGGTCCTTATAAATTTGTCTATGATACAGGGAGTGTATCTTGATCATTACAGGATCTAGATGTCACCTTGAATGAGGTGTATCTTCTTCAATTCAGATTCACTACAAATTTTTGACTTTGTATTTTTTATGAAACATATGACTGAGAAAATAGTAGTACATGTATATCAAAAAGGTAGAAAATACTCTACACAAGTTTTATCACAGATTTGTACACAGTCCTACTGAAATCTTCAGTTTCTAATAATTGTTTTTGAATATTCAATCATAAATAACAAACAATTTGCATAGCAAACATAACTTCATGAGGGTATATTTCCAAATATTAATATCACCGGGCCAACTCTCGAAAGCAGTGGCGCAGGCATCAGAACTTTTATTACGTTGAGGAGGATTGAGGAAGAAAGTTTTAAAAGGTAACGTGAAGTTCATATAATGATGTTTTATTTTACACGAGTTAAAAAAACAAAAACATGTTATAATAGTTCATATTATTATTAAAATTCAATGGTTTGTATTTTTGAAGTTGAAAAAATAATCAAAATATTTTATAAAATTGGGTCAACATTCACAGCCGAATTTCTATATATTCAATTCCCAAACCAATTTTGGTAGTAGATAATTTAACTAGTTGTATTTTTTAGTATTTCTCGGGTTGTAAGTTTTAGATGTTCTGTAAGTGAGATCATGGTATTATTAGTAACTGTTGATAATGTTGTGATGACTTTTTCAACCACCTCTAAATCCTCATCTTCACCTTCAGATAACCTTTTTAATGCATCCCATAAACCTACTACAGATCTGAAACATTACAAAATTTGTATACTTAAGTGATATCAAAATAGAAAATAGAATTGACCTATTGCAGCCTGTATCATTACTGAAGTTTGACAAGTAATATTTTTGCTCTGTCTGACCTTTGAGATATGCTTGGATGGTTTATTTAAAGAAATAGGCTGGGGGGCATTTATGATGGAACGCTTTTCAGTTAAAGACATCCATTTAAATACTTCTATTTTTTTCATTTATAGTTTAGGACTCAAAGGCAATGAGATTCATTAATAAAGAGGGAATTTAAAACTACATGCCAAACTAAAACACTTTGAATACATACCCTACAATTCCCATCAATATCAAAAAATAGTCTAAAAATTTCTGAGACCTTGTTAAGGACCTGTAAAAACAAAACAAATAGGCTACAGAGATCTAATATTTACTTATGCTTTAAAATTAGAACTTGATTTTTAGCTGCAATCATTGAGCTGAGTAAACCAAAAAAGAAAAAAAATCCACAAATCAATTGAAAAATTAAAACAGAAGCTGAAACATGTTGTTACACCAAGTTTCACTTTTTGCAATCTTTAGACCTATTTCAGCCTACTAAAGTCTACTTGACAAACGTATTAATGTAGTTCCCAATAAAGTTTGAGTGTGAATAACTTTCAACAGACTCATATACACATCATAATTTTGAATTGAAACATTGTGTTGAAGAAGTAGAAACTTACCCTTTAAATATATATAAATGGAAGACACCAGGTAAAATAAATGCTAGTAAGGTACAACATGTTGAACCAATTAATGCCATTAAATTAGAGAAACTTGGTATTAAGACCACAATTATACCAGTTAATGACACCATAATACATCGTAATATATTCTAGAAAATAGAAAAATGAAATTTTATAAAATAGGAAAATGATGCATTTCATTTCATAGAAAAGGATATGAAACATGACAATATATATTCTAGAAAATAGACTATATATAATTTAGAAAAAATGATATCGTAGGTTACTGCTTGAAACCTCGTATGTCATATTTAGTCATTTTCACTTTCTGGTACCGTTAGAAAGCACGTCAAATCTTGTGATCAAAATTTCTTGTTCCTAGCTTCATTGTAATTAATTCAAAATAACATGTATATTAACAGTCAGTTTTAAAAGCTCGTAAAATATCATATACAGATGAAAACAGAAAAACCTGTAATAATACGAGTTATTGAGAGTATTACCATATAAGGTTTAAATTGTCAAAGATTGAAAATAGTAAATATGATTTTAACCATACGCGTACAATCAGTTTTTCTCGAATTAAAGTAATTTCATGACATATAATGTCATACGAGGTTTCAAGCAATCATATACATTACAAAATAATCTTATACATGGCATATTAACATATATATTCTAGTAAAATAAGATAGAAAGATAGTGGACCTCAGCCATATACACCCACCACGGCATGCGGATAGTAAAAACGAAACATCAATTTTAAGTTTCATCAAAATCGGTTGAAAACTAAGAGAGTAATAGTATATTCAAGATTTTGGGGCAAGGGCAATAACTCTGCTTCTAACGGTCGAAAATAGCTCAAATTCGAACTTGATCTTCGTTTTATGAATATGTATACCCATACCGAATTTCATTTGATTCCATAAAAAAATCGAGTTTTTAGAGCGTTTACAAGCAAATGTTGACGGATGGACAACATGGGTGCCGACAATATACGTCCAAATAGAGAGATGTGGGCGTATATAAAAATCAAACTATTATAGAAATTACGATATATTCTAAAGAAAAAGGAAATGACACAATAGAAAACGTTCTACAACATGAAATAACTTCTGTTTATTGAAACAATACTAGAACTAAGATAAAATACTAACCCCTCTCCAATAATGTTTGTCAGCATCAGCTATTAAAATTCTTTCTAATATTTTCATCACAGGAAACATCATTACTAAAATAACAATACAGTCATATGATGTCTCCTCTAGATAATTTATTAGTCTCTGGGATAATCTGCATCATTTTTTTGTCTCCTGTATGATTTGTTAGTCTCCTGTATGATTTATTAGTCTCCTGTATGATTTGTTAGTCTCTTGTATCATTTTTTGTCTCCTGTATCATTTGTTAGTCACCTGTATCATTTGTTAGTCACCTGTATTAAGAGTTAAGAATTTAAGAATTGAAAAGTGTAGGCAAACACTACTGTCCTTGCAAAATTCCTCATTGCACAATGCATGCATTGTCCGTCTTCATGAACTTGAAGAGGTGAAGAAATGGAGGACACAAAACTCCATTTAGGTCACTTAGTTGCATACATGATAATATGGTGGTTATAAATACTAACCTGGGTATGTAAATAACAGAGCTAAACATAATGATGACTTTACAACCATACTAAAATCTACAGAACTACCTGAAATATTGTGAGCATGTGGTAATAACAATAAGAAATATATATATATATATAAAGTAAATATATATCAGGGTAGGATAAGATGATATTTTTACCACAGTTGATTCTATTATTTAGACAGAAAGTTCAACAGTTTACAGAAATACATAAGTACACTTAATCAAAATGAATATACCATATTGGACATATTCTGATCTTATTCATAACAACTTACCTTTTGGTAAATTCAAAGTAATAATTGGATTAGTCTGTGGACCAAATGACTGAAATTAAAAGAATGTATGAATGATAACATTGATGGGTATAATTACATACATTATGTATGGCCACAATAAATTTTTTAGTTTATGAAGATTAGAGTAAATCTGTGTATAGTTCCTACCCTTTTTTGACTTATAGAGCACTGGACTTAGATAAGAGGAGTATTTTCCATGTCATCCATGCATTAATGAGAGACCAAATTAACAAAAATACAAAATTTGTCTTCATAAAAAAAGTAAGCTTTCCTTTTCAATAAATTAAATGACATAGAAAATAATTACCAGATATCCTGCAGAACCAAATGTAATATATAATGTTGTAGCTAATACCATAGATATTATAAATATTCTGAAAATATACAAAACATTTTACTATAACATAATACAATAGTAACAAGTTAAATCATTTATAGAATTGTAAGGTTCAAATCTTATGTATAACATATTCTTTTTGAAAATACAGAACTAATTCATTCAAATTTCAATGTTCATGAAAGGAAAAAAATCAACATTTTTATCACACAACAGTTGTGTTCTCAAGTAAATAATACAGGTTCATAAAAACTGTATGAACTCATAGCACAGGTTAATAACAATGCAAATTAGGTCATGTATTTGGAAATTGTTCCAAATAACATAATATTGATTAAAAGTATCAATTTAGTAATAACATTATTGTTGTTACCAAGATCTTTTTTGTAACACACAATGACATTTTGTAGAAGGCTGACCTCAAAATGAAGGTCCTATATAGAAAAAGTGCAAGGAATTTGAGAAAAATGTGCATTTAATGATAGTTGTGATATGAATAGAATCTTTCACTCGTGCTTACGTTGTATTAAATTTTATGAAATTCTCCCCAAGGTTCAGGTAATATTAAATCTGGCAACTCATTTCATAAATTTCATATTACAAAAGCACTCGTTTAAGATTCTCTATGTATGACCTGTGAGCCTTACTTTTTAAATTTGTGTCGTTTTTCCTGAGCAACAGATGATTCTAATGATAATATCATACCAGCACCCTGAAATATAAATAAATAATTTGACAACAAGAGTGTATAATAAACATTTTGCAATAATTTTACTTCTGTTCAAATGTTTAAAAGGGTAGGTGTGCCATTTTTGGAGTTGATTTTAGTCTTTAATAAATGTAAATAGTCTTCAGAAGTACTAGAAATGTACGAAAATCACATAATTCCTTTAAAAATACTTCAAACTTGGCCAACAAGAGTTTACAGTGGACATACCTGGTGTCATAAATATACAACAGAATCCCAGTATGATCAGAAAAATCCAAAATGTAATGTAACGTTAAGGATAATGACTTAGTTTTATTGAATTATCAGATTAAAGGGGGTTTCTGTTATAAAGTTATGATACTGGCTAGGTCCAAAGGTGAATATATACTCTTATTGGTAAGGTTTTACAATCTGGATTTTATGTATTTTTCTACTCACCTCATAACAATAAATAGCTATAGCCAAGAAAAATGGAAAACCTTTTATGGACATTTCTTTGGGATGGATTCTAAAAATAAAAATCAAGAGAATCACAGTATACCACTTGAGTAATATATAGAACAAAATAAAACCTAAATAATAACAATTATATTAGTACTATGTTAGTATATGGGTTGTTAATTTGAAATTTCGATTGCAAAATAAATTTTAAGCCAAAAATGAGAACTGCACGAAAAATGACATGAGCAAATGACAGAAAACTAGCACCAATCTTACTATAGTGGAAAACAAACTACTAAACAAGGAATGGTGATAGTGGATGGAGAAGTTTATCAAGTTCAAAAATCTCAGGTTGTGGACATTGTGGATTTTGGATTTTCTACTAAATGGTTGTTACTGGCAACTTGGATAAATTGGAATAATTTGACTGAAATACAGTTCTAGATATCTTGTTTCATTTATTTCCTTTTGGTTATTTTATTTATTCTAGATGCCTAAAGGATTATTATTTCATCTTATTTCAGATCAGAACAGAAGAAAAATACAGTTCCACATTGTTTATCCCATTTTGTAAATGAAGTATCTGTTCCATTACATTTGGAAGAATCAAACCCTCTCTTCCCAAAAATCTAACAAGTGGTTGCCTAGCAAGATACACCCACTTTCCTGATACATTTTCAGTATATCAAGGGCGGTCACCAATCTGTGATTTAAACAAACACACAAAATTCTGACATAAACAGTCACGTCTATTGCATTAACGAGCCAACAAATTTTGATGAGTTTTTACTAAGTAAAGGGCAATAACTCAAATTTCGTTGATCAAAAAAATTGTCAAATTCAATCTTGACTAAGATCTCATCATTATAAATGATCACAACAAATTTCATTTAAATCGGATGATTCATGATATGAAACAAGTTTGATAATTGTCTCAGATAGTTTTATCGTCAGCAAGACTGATCATCGTGATCCAATCAGATTCATCTCCTTGCAATGGCATGCTCCACACATGATTATCAACATGGTGGAAAACTGGAGATTTTTGTCTCCTCGTGTGCCCGTGCCAGTCAGTGAAACTCTTGACAAGACTCAAGTCGGCGAGAAAAATTAACGACAAAATTTTGCCACAGAATTTTAGGCTAGAATACAAAGCGCCTCATTATCCCCAAAATTATCCCCATCAGACTAATTCACCCTAGGTTGAGAACCCCTGAACCCAATACTATTTTTTTTGTGATGATTTGTAACTGACATTAAATGTGAGATCCTAGACCTTGCAGTTACTAACAGAAACAGAACAAAACAGAATATCTAGAGATTTATTTCAATCAGATTTTGAAAAACAGGATCAATAGAGGTTTGTCTTAAATCTTAGGAATTTTTTTTTCAGATATATTAATTGCTAGTTCATGCAATAAATTAAAATTTTGATATTTCAGAAGTACTGGTATCCTAAGCCCCAACATTAGCCTGATTCAGCTTGTATTTAACAATTACAAGACATAAAGAGCCATAACCAATACAAATAATTTGCTCAATTTGAAAGTTGAATGATCTTAAAGAAATACCTTCAAACATTGAGAAAGGGAAACAAGTGGTTGCCTAGAAAAATACGCCCACTTGCCTGATAAATTTTCAGTATATCAAGGGTGGTAGCAGTACCAATTTGTGCAAGATATTGTTGACTTAATCAAACTCAAAATTTCATAAAATTCAGACATAAACTTTCACCTCTATCGAATTCACGTCACATTCAACAAATTTTTTATGTGTTTTAAGTAAGGGCAATAACTTAAAATTCTGTTCATCAAAAAATTGTCAAATTCAAACTTGACCAAGATCTCATTGTAATACTGTATCCTCTATTGTGTTCAAACGAAATGTGCTGGGTTTTCCCTAAGTCAAGAGCAATAACTCAAATTCCATTCATCGAGAAATTGTCAACTCTTTGTTCAAAATCTCATGGTAATAGATGATCGCACCAAATTTCATTAAAATCTTAGTCAAGGGCATTAACTCAAAGACCTTTCATCGAGAAATCATCAAATTCAATCTTGACCAAGTTCTCATCGTTATAAACGTATTATATATTGAATTATACTTCAAAATATAGAATGAAAACATATTCAATACATTGGGCAAAACCTAGTTTGTCTGAAAATTCCCTAATGAATTCTTTTGATATCATCTGAAAGTATGTTTTGTAATGAAGGCATACCAAGAATGTTACAGTTTCTACAGATTGAACGAAATTATCTCTTTTCAAATTTGTATTCTTATTATATTTCATCCAATTAATTACCTAGCTCTAATGTGAATTCAGGACATTTTATTCTAATTTATCATGAAATATAGAAAATAATGAAACAAGCAATTAATATATCTAATGTTTAGAAACCTCCACCAAGTGTTATATAGTAAAATCAACTCTTACGTTACTCTAGAATGAATATACATATAAAATAGTCTATTAACAGAAGCATAAATATTCATAAGGTAGAAATAGATAGAAACAATTAAATTAAATCTTCTGCTCCAGTAAGTTCAGGCTTTCATTGATTTGTCTATCATATCCCATTGCTGCACTTCCTAATTTATAATAAGCATAATGTATTCACATGTATGTTATAAATTAAAGTTTGTTGTGTTGATATTTAGTTGTAAATAGCTGTATTGAGTTAGTAAGCAAAAACACAAACTTTGTTCATTAAAAATGCAACCTAAGCTAACTGCCACAATATATAATAACATATTAAACAAGAACACTTACCTTACTGTATAAAGATGTTCAAAATCAAACCAAAATACAACACCAAATGCAAAAATATTGGAAACCTGTGCCATCAAACTGAAAAAAATTACTGAGAATGAAAACTTTTCTGTGTTTAAGCCCAGTTTTTTTTTTTTATCTATTTTACAAGTATCTTTTTTATTCTAAAAAAGGGACTTAGAAATGAATCAAATTTCAAAAATGTGATTTGTCCACATAAAAAAATTATAAGTGAAAAACAAGGAATTATTCATATTTTCTTCAAACAACTGTGACAACTTTTGTGAATTGCTTCAAACAAGGATTCAACCTCTTTTACTGAAGTAAACTAGACAGAACAAATTTTATTTCATATGCATTTTCAGGAAACTTGGCTGAGCTGATTGTAAACAATGAAAGGTAATTATGGTCTAACAAATATCATATTTTATATACAGTACAGTCTGGTTTAGTAAAGTCTAAGATCCTAGTCATTTACAACCATTCTGAAAATGGATTCTGAGTCTGTGTCACTTGTTTATAAAGCTTTGCCCTGAATCCGAAATCAGATTTTGAATCCAACAAACTTCCTAACTTGGCAAAGTCGTTGAAATTGATAGTTTGTCAAAGATGTTATTTTTCTGTGTCAAACCTATTCAGTAGCTGAGATATGTTACCATGAAAATATTTGATATTAGAGTTCTCAATGACCTATCCTTACCCGCAGAGGGTATGTGATTAGAATCAGCAGGAGTATCTGTGGGCTCAACCATCTTGCTTTTCGAATCAGTGTCAATTGTTTACAAATCAAGTTTCATATTTCTTGTAGATAAGTAGGGCCTAATTGTATCCCTTTGAAAATGAATATCAATATATAATTACCTAGATAAAGCTAAACTGTTCAAATGTCTTATTAATGTGAGTAAAGTTAAAGGAGGTAGTAAGATAGCTAACCAACTGAATCTGTAACAAAATAAAATCAATTTAAATATATTTCTAACAACCAATTAGAATCAAATACTTTTACTCATAACATTCATACAAAAAATAATAGAATTTTACTTAACAAAATATATTTTATGCAACTGACATCTATTTTGCAAAAAAATATAAAATAATAAAATTCAATTATATCACAAATTCCCAAAAAGGGAAAACCAATTAAAACTATATCATTGTCCTGTTATTTGACGTTTCGGCTTACTGCCTTCTTCAGAAACACCCAAAATAGATCTCGATCACATCTTATTCCGTTATTTTACTAACTATTTAAAGTTTAGAATAGTTAGTAAAATAACGGAATAAGATGTGATTGAGATCTATTTTGGGTGTTTCTGAAGAAGGCAGTAAGCAGAAACGTCAAATAACAGGACAATAATATAGTATTAAAATTCAATATAAAATCAATCAGCAAGACTTCTGTAATGGAAGTTAAACATATTTACTCAGGGGATATAAATCTAGCTTGGCTCATTTAACAGGATTGAAAAGCCAACAAAGATATTCCATTTGTTTACAATTATAGTAACTTACATGCTGACTCCTGTAATGTAGTCTGATAAATTTTTAACTATAAATATTAGATAGGCACAACAGAAACCTAAAAATAACAGAAATTCAAATCTTACACAGAGCATAACATACATTGACAGAGATTGGCAGACCTTGTCCACATAAAGTGAAAATTTTACATCAAAATGATTACAAATTATCTTTTGCGATAAACAAAGTTATATATTTAACGGGATTGTAAAGAGGTTTTTCTAAATTTTTCGTTTATCCGGGACACTGATAACATCAATTTCCACCATTCCAATTTTCAGTCATTGCAATCTTTAATACTGTCCAAAAATATGCAGAAATCTTAATCAAACTTTCTTACCAGTTTGTGAAATAACAATTGCCATATCAACTAACAGCTTTCCTATAGGCCCCATAGCATGGAATCCTGAAACAAGATACATATCTCAGAACGTGACATTACTTCCAAAAATTTCTAACAAACTTACAATATAGATGAAAAAATAACAAAAACTTGAATTCTCAGGAAATCCAGTTGCTTAGAGTAAACTTAGGCAGAGAATCTTACCACAATTTAGTTAAATACAGGATAATCACTAGTATAGTTGATTACATAATTAGAATAAACATTTATTTTAAGTAACTTTCAGTTTAAGGCAACATTTAAATTTAAAATATTTTGCAAATTGAACAGAACTATAAGCCTATGAATTTTACATCATGTTCATCACCGATATCTTTAGATAACTGAAATGATTTTGTACAAAATCTGTAGAATTTGTGTTCAATAGCAGAGGAATTAAGTCCACACAACCGCTTTGAGAAAGATTGACATGAATCTAAATACTAACCTACATCACCATAGGTTAAATCATCTCCCTTAAAAGATACAAAGTAAAATTACAAAACTGTCAAAATAGAGTTAATAAATAATAAAATAAAAATACCAAATAAATAATATTAGCTATGTGGACTCTCTTAAACAAATGTAAAATGAAAATCTCAGGAAATTTTTGGTGAATGCAACCACTAAATAAAAGTGGACCCCCCGAGAGAGGTAGTACTTAACATCAGTTAATTTTGGTGAACATTATAAAAGTTTATTCTGGGTAAATGAAATTCTTCATGACAATAACATACTTTGCTAGTAAATAAATAACAAATATATAAGGTAAATGTGAATCTAGCCTGAATGTGCCACGCCCATCCCATTTTTGTCACATCTGTTATAATGTTTACAATGCTAAGCTAAATAAAAATTTCAAGCGTCTAAAGTTATTAGATCATGAGATATTCATACTTTCATGTTAAAGTCTTGAGATTTTACGGCAAACGTCAAATTACGCACAGTTACTATAGAAGTCAGTTCAAAATATCTAGTGTTATATACCATTGGAAAGAAGAGATAGCCCGTAATAAAGATATATGAGAAATTTTGTCATATGTAAATTAAGTCACGTGACACAGCTCTTTAAAATTAAAAATCGCTATTTTCAAATGGCTGTAAAACCGAAAGTTTACATTGCACAGCAAATCTGAAGACACCATCGGATAGATCTCGTCAGGGGTAACAAGTTTTGTGCGGGTCATAAGGTCACCAAAAGTCAAGGTCACGAATTATGGGCCTTAAAACATTTTGCATTCACTGGATAAATATGACCGGAAACATAAGAAAAGTAAAATCAAAATTCAAAAATCGGCTTCCTGAGAAGTGTTTGCAATCGATTGAAGATAACATAGACATCAACATCACACACATCTGATTATCCCCTAAGGCCCAATTTCTCGTTTTTCAAAAGTGAGTCATATCAATATGGTGGTTGACCTGTTACTTCCGGGTCAGATTTTTTAAATAGTATATCTTGCATGGGCAATTCTAGCTTATTGCAAAAAGAATTTTTTAAATATCTTCAAAATTCCGGAAGTTGAAATTTTCAGTTTAAAAGCGAACAACGTCTAAACCGGAAGTGATATCGAAAATATGAAAATAGAATTTACTTCGCAATCAAAATGACTATTTACCTGTAAATTTTCAGATTGATTGAAATTAAATTGTACAAGTTAAAAAAAAACTCAAATTTTGAAAATCAAAAAGTCAGCGACAAAAGTCAAAATTCTGAAATTCTTGAATTGCCAATCTGTAGAACTCAGTTCAAAGCAGTTAACTTAAAAAAAAACATTTGCAAAACAAAGCAGTGTGTTCGATAGAACGCACTGCAATAACCGATCAAAGTAAGGATATACTTTTATGACACAAAAATTACCCATGAAATTAAGAATTTTGAATTATTTTTATCATTAATCGATTATTGATCGGTAGTATGCAATCTATAATCAATCTCAAATTGCTAATCAATACCCAGCCCTAGCCTAGAGTCTTGACATGATAGTACTACAAGTATGGCATCAATTTTGTATTTTTAATCATCAAGCCAAGCCGTATATGGATTTAACCTAAATTCTATATTATACTGTTTATGTTGATGTATAAAGAGTTATCTAAATCAACAGGGACAGTTTCATTAAAAAAAAAGAATCTCTACACAAAAAGTGACTCACAATTGGTTTAGGTGGGTCTTTAACTCGAATCATCATTTCTCCTTCATTAATTAATTCTTTATATTCCTCTTCATGTCCCTCAGTCAAACCATCATCAGTATGAATATAAGATCTTTCAGTATTACTATCTAATTTCTTACCCATCAACTGATATTTACAATCTATTATCAGTAACATAGCCTTAACACTGAAAGATAAAGTAATATTTACAATCTATTATCAGTAACATAGCCTTAACACTGAAAGATAAAGTAATATTTACAATCTATTATCAGTAACATAGCCTTAACACTGAAAGATAAAGTAATATTTACAATCTATTATCAGTAACATAGCCTTAACACTGAAAGATAAAGTAATATTTACAATCTATTATCAGTAACATAGCCTTAACACTGAAAGATAAAGTAATATTTACAATCTCTCATTTACTAATGTTGCCTTAACACTGAAAAATAGAGTAATATTTACAAACTCGCATTTACTAATGTTGCCTTTACGCTGAAAAATAGAGTAATATTTACAAACTAGCATTTACTAATGTTGCCTTTACGCTGAAAAATAGAGTAATATTTACAAACTAGCATTTACTAATGTTGCCTTTACGCTGAAAAATAGAGTAATATTTACAAACTAGCATTTACTAATGTTGCCTTTACGCTGAAAAATAGAGTAATATTTACAAACTAGCATTTACTAATGTTGCCTTTACGCTGAAAAATAGAGTAATATTTACAAACTAGCATTTACTAATGTTGCCTTAACACTGAAAGATACAGTAATATCTACAATCTGTTACTAGTCACATAGCCTTAAAGAGACATTCCGCTTTTTTTATATCTTAAAAATTATTTTGCTCAAATTTGTGAAAACTATAAACCAAAAATAATGGATCCCATAACATATCTGAAAGTTTTAACAAAAAAAATCCAAGCGTTAATTTACATAACCTTTTAGAGTTTGTTTTTTTCCTTTTTGTAAGCTGTTACAAAACTACTGTATGGATTTGAGTAAAAATAAACGCTTAATTGTAGAGAAACATGTCTCCTACGCTTTCAGCTAATCATAACGAGCTATTATAAAGCCAAACACCGAAACTAGATCAATCTGCTTAATTAACAATTAGTACTCTCAGTTTTTAATTAATCCTTTTAAAATAAATTCAGTTTAATAGCATACTTTAGAAATATATTTCAGTTATAATTTACAACATTTTTGATAATGAAAATCTTTTACTAAAAAAGGCAGGATGCCCCTTTAACACTGAAAGAAAACGTAATATTTTCTATCTATTATTGATTACAGATAAAATAATATTAAATATTCAGATATCTTTTATATATCAGGTTTATTGTATTGGAACAAAATCATTATAAAAATTAGGCTACATTTAAAATAATAAACTAAAATGTCTAAAATCAACAATAACTTATTCCTGATCACAGTTCTCCGTGGTATTATGGAGATTATAATTTCAGATTAACGTGGTGTAGCCTATATTTGTGCATATAAGGATCAAACATCTAATTTCGTCAAAATTGAAAAACGCAAATTCATTTTTTTTATGCTAAGACATTTCCTCAGATATTCTACAAAATAATTAAAATTGGTTTTCTCTTTTTGAATCCCTCACCTTGACCCATATCTAATGAGTAACCAACCCATCTTATGCTGACACGGAATCAGCTGGTTTATCACTTGACTTCGTTCAATTGACTACATTCTAGCAGATGACACTTAGAATTCCGATTACAGCTCGGATTATTAGGAAATTTGGTCGATAAAAAATTGTATTTGTATTTGTATTTGTAATTGTATTAATGTCTACTTTAGACATTAATACAATTACCTTGTTTGAAACTACTGGAATCATTCTACTAGCAGATATTGTATAAATAACCCATGTTTATCAAAACAAGCGAATGCGGAGGTCACGCGAGGCCGCATATGTAGATTATTAATCATGTGTGGAGATGCAGGAAAAATAGGATAGCACGAAATTAGGTTACTTAACTGTATATACAGTCAAGTAACCTAATTTCGTGCTAACCTATTTCTATGCATCTCTGGAAATGATTTATAATTGACAAATACAAAATGGCGGATTTCACTTATTACCAAACGTCACAATTTTTTATCGGCCAAATTTCCTTATAATTCCAAGTGTCGTCTGCTAGAATGTAGTCCAATAAACGAAGTCACGTGATCAACTAGCGGATTCCGTGTCAGCAGAAAATTTCTATGGAACACAATGTGGGCCATATTCTTATGTTGTTTCATTGACTTTTAGAAATAAATCACGCTACGTATCTTTTTTGTACGTCACTATTATTTTTCAAAATCATGGTTCTTTGAAGGAATTGTCACTAGTTATAATATATTATTAAAGATAAATACTAAGAGAAGTTAATTATACCACTGGGTATTCATACAACATTTATTTACTTATTTATAGATCAAACATTGTACACGAAAATTTGCCGCCGTTGTCGAGTTGGTTACTCATGAAAAATGGGTCAAAGTGAAGGATTTATAAAGAAAATCGAAACAAACCAATTTTAATTATTTTGTAGAATATCTGAGGAAACATCATAAAAAAAAATTCTGTTTTTTTAACTTTGACGAAATTTGGAGTTGAATCATTATATGCACGTAAATAGGTTACACTACTGTAAAAATAATAAGCAAGATGTGATTATGATGTGATATTGCTACATTGTATCACTAAAAAGGAATAATTGTTTTACCTTATAAAGCCTACAAATGTCATTATCAGGGCCCCTTCAAGTATTCCAGCCTGAAAAAAAGAGGATCAATTTAATTTCGCAATTGGAACCAAATAGGACTGTACACAAAACTTATTTTAAACTTTAGAGAATGTCAGATGTCAAAAGTCACACAAACCTCTTTAAAAGCAAATGGCAATCCCAAAATACCCGCTCCTATGAATGAAATGAAAATATTTGCAAATATCTTAATACTGTTCTTGGATCCACCTGATCCAGAATTCGTTGGGCCTGCCATCGTTGTCTCCGTTTATTCTCTCCGCTCAAATTATTTTATAATTTTTCCATATATTTCACATGTTTGTTTTGATTTGACCGATGTCAAAATGATATCTGCAACGTGGAAGACAACGCCATCCAGTGGGAAAATACCCCGAGTAATGTTTAAAGAAAGAGAACTTTGAATATATAGACAACTATTAACTCATTTATCTTGTAAATATGTGTTGAAAATGGGACATAACTTGGGAAGTCGTCCATCGGTTGAGACAAAAATTAACCCTTTTCCGCATATTTTTGTTGCATATATTCTTTAAATTTGAATCTAGTATCACAGTTTATAACATTGTCTTAATTTCTTATAATATAGATATACATTTTATAACATAGAGTTATATTTGTTATAATTTATACATATATAGATTTGTAACATTGAGTTTATATGTTATAATAAAGATATAGATTTTGTAACATTGAGTTTATATGTTATACATTTTGTAACATTGAGTTCATATGTTATAATAGATATAGATTCTGTAACATTGAGTTTATATGTTATAATAAAGATATAGATTTTGTAACATTGAATTTATATGTTATAATAAAGATATACATTTTGTAACATTGAGTTTACATGTTATAATATAGATATATATACATTTCAAGACATTGAGTTATATTGTTATAATAGATATAGATAGATATTTTATTGTATCAATACGTACCATAAACATACATTATTCAACAATACAATGTGAAAAATAAAACACTATGCAGATTTTAATGTGATAAAAAACAATGTGGTAAAACATTAATAATGATATTTTGAAATAAAATAGGTTAATAATAATGCAATAATATATTGTTATGATATAGAAACACATGTTACATATTTTGTTTTGTTAATAAGTGTAGTATATAGTCATGTAGAACATAGTAATATAGGCAGAAACATCTGACTCTAATCCAACATCTGATAGCTATTTTGAAAGTTGTTGACTGGTGCAGAGACAGAACAAATAGGCCCTGTATAGTGAAGATTTTCCGCATATCCGAAAAAAAACCCCTACAGTGTATTTACTTAAATCGGATGCACCAAAGCCAGATATATTCAGAAAGAGATCTTTATGTCACATCTGCAATTCAATCATTTTTTTTTTTTTGCGAAACTGATCTCTTGTCAACCAAAACGCCAAGAGTCACATCATACGAACAAAACGAAATGATACCCAACACTAATTTACAGCCATCGTGAATGTAATTTAATATCCTGTAAGACAAATGCGCATCTTCGGAGTAGTTGAAAATCGCCATAAAATAGGGTCTAGTTTTTCTGATTCTGACGGAGTAGAGGCTGGTGTTTCGAACTATTAGTACAGTCAAGTAACCTAATTTCGTGGAAACCTATTATTCGTGGATTTCTGGAAACGATTAATAATTTACATGAGCGACCTTGCTCGACCTCCGCATTAGTTTGTTTTGATAAACATGGGTTTTCTCTACAATATCAGCTAGTAGAATGAATTTAGTAGTTTCAAGCAAGGTAAACTGTATTAATGTATACTTTGACAAATACAAAATGGCGGATTTCAGCTATTACCAAACGTCACCATGTTTTATCAGCCGAATTTACTTATAATCCCACGCGGTAATCGGAATTCCAAGTGTCGTCTGCTAGAATGTAGTCCAACAAATCAAGTCGCGTGATCAACTAGCGGATTCCGTGTCAGCAGAAAATTTCTATGGAACACAAAGTGGGCCATATTCTTATGTGACTTTTAGCAATAAATCACGCTACATATCTTATTTTGTCAGTCACTAATTTTTTTTAAATCGTGGTTCTTTGAAGGAATTGTCACTAGTTATAATGAATTGATATTAAAGATAAATACTAAGAGAAGTTAATTATACCACCGGTTTCCATACAACGTGTTTTTCTCGACTTATTTATAGATCAAACATTGTACACGAAAATAGGTGACGCATTCTGCCGCCGTTGCCGAGTTGGTTGCTCATGAAATATGGGTCAAAGTGAAGGATTGATAAATAAAATCGAAATAAACCAGTTTTAATTATTTTGTAGAATATCTGAGGAAACATCTCAGACATAAAAAAAAAATTCTTTTTTTTTAACTTTGACGAAATTCTGTGTTGAATCCACGAAAATGGGTACACCACTGTAATATAGGAACACAACTTGTTACAGTGTTTAAATTTGTCGTAATATAAAATACATTTTGTTACACTGTATAAATTTCATATAATATAAGAATACCTTTTATATTACTGTTTTAGTTTGTGATAATACAGTTTTATAACTGTTATAATTTATCAACACATCGGGCCTACAGTTTTTCTTTTAACACTATATCAATTGTTGAATTGTTTTATGGCCATATTTGTAGCACTGGTATAACGTTTATTAATTGCAAAAGAGCCACATATTATATTACAAAAAAAATATAATATATTATAAAAACCAACAACAACAAAGGGCATTTAACTACTTAAAATAGATAGGAACATGAAGATTGTCAAGATGGTGAATATTTAGGTCTTAGAATCAAGCTAAAAGAAATAATGAAGGGTCACAAAATTGATCAGCGTTTAATTTCAAAATCTAACTTATGTAAAGGCGTTATCAAATGACAGGGGCCAGTGGTCTTGTGAGAAAGTGTTCTAGTCACCACGTACCACAAATTTAAAGCAAACCGCTCAAAGTTTAATGTTCAAGGGAGATAAGTTCTGTAATATAAAAAATTTCCTAAGGCAAACACTAAGGGAAGTAATCTTACTCAGAACAATATTTAATAAAATAATGTATGATACCATATTAAACACACATTTCTTACAATGAAATAATTCCTGAAAAGGCGTAAATTTCAAGTGTTGTTGTTTTTTTTAAATATAAAAATTAGAAAGGTAAACAACAATAAAGGAATAAACTCAGAATATATTTTATCGAGATTGGATGATTGACAAGTTCCTTAAGCAACGGCGACGACAAACAGACGTTCCAAACTTTAACAACAAGATACTTATAGCTAAAACTTTCAGAAAATGGAATTCTTCCAATAGTTTTCACTAGTTACAGCACCTAACATTCACAATCTGTGGAGAAAGAGTGGGGAAGAGAATCATCACAATGACATGCTTTGCATTAGTTTTCTGCAATTTCGTAAATGGAGGTAATTTTGTCGGGATTGTTAAATCATTCATTTATTTGTTGTGACATAGAAAACGTTTAGTAACACTGTTGTAATTTGTTATATTACATAAAACGTTTTGTAACAGTTTTAATTAGTTTAATATAAAATACGTTTTGTAACACTGTTTTAATTAGTTATGATATAAAATACGTTTTGTAACACTGTTTTAATTAGTTATGATATAAAATACGTTTTTTAACATGGTTTTAATTAGCTATGATATAAAATACGTTTTGTAACACTGTTTTAATTAGTTATGATATACAATACGTTTTGTAACACTGTTCTAATTAGTTATGATATAAAATACGTTTTGTAACACTGTTTTAATTAGTTATGATATAAAATACGTTTTTTAACATTGTTTTAATTAGCTATGATATAAAATACGTTTTGTAACACTGTTTTAATTAGTTATGATATAAAATACGTTTTGTAACACTGTTTTAATTAGTTATGATATAAAATACGTTTTGTAACACTGTTTTAATTAGCTATGATAGAAAATACGTTTTGTAACACTGTTTTAATTAGCTATGATATAAAATACGTTTTGTAACATGTTTTAATTAGCTATGATATAAAATACGTTTTGTAACACTGTTTTAATTAGTTATGATATAAAATACGTTTTTTAACATTGTTTTAATTAGTTATGATATAAAATACGTTTTTTAACATTGTTTTAATTAGTTATGATATAAAATACGTTTTGTAAACAGTTTTAATTAGTTATGTTATAAAATACGTTTTACACTGTTTTAATTATTTATGATATAAAATACGTTTTACACTGTTTTAATTATTTATGATA